TTCTACAAGAAATTTGGTGTTGACCCTATTTTAACTTGCATTGTTAAAATATAATATTTCTTGCGAAGAGAAACAATCCATTTCTCCACACCGCAGCTGCTTTAATTCCGCCCTCGCTTATTCACAATTTAGCCGAGCGAGGAAAGAAATAAAGAAGAAACTTGCCCGTGTATGTATATTGTGCCTTCAACTACCACTACCACTTCTTCCTCTCCAGCAAGTGCACGGCACATAAAAAGTTTGATGTTTTTGCTCCAGTTAAGCCGCAGACAAACAGCATTACGCGCGCTCTTTTATTTATTGTTTCAAATTGAGAGATCCAAGCAGAAGTAGTGTGGTTTTCGCAGTAATGGTCACGAGTGCAGGTAATATAATGCCGGCCTGAGTACCTCGTCGTCGACACTTCTTGCTGCATTCTCGTGCGGAATTACTAACAAGGGCTAGACAGAATTGAAATCAATATAAAGTGGGGGCTCAGTAAAGGCAAACAAAATTTTTCTTGGAAATCGGAGTTTTTAATAATATTTATTTGAAAATTATGTTTCAAATTAAAAATGGTATATAAAAAAATAGATAATTTAATAAAAAAATTTAAACATGATGATTTAAACAGTTTACCCAATATAACACATGCCAATAACACCGTCAAGACGAGATCCAAGGAGTAATTTTAGAATTATTTATTAAATAGAAGTGATATGATTGACAGCGCACAAATAAAATAATTTTGTAAACTGAATACAAATTTAATAGCAGTTGGGCTCAGTTAAAAAAAATGTTAAAAATGAATTAAGGTAAAAAAATTATATTAAAAACATAATTTACAAAATTATTTTTTATTATAAATTTATTCTTAAAATTTTCAAATAATTAAATTTATATTCTTAAAATAATAAATTATAATTATAATATGTTAATTTGACATTTTATTTGTTTAACACAAGCTTCATTTTTATCTATTTTACTTTTGATGTACTATCAAAATCGCAATAATCTTTAACTGATCATGCATTACCAAAGCATATTCCATTCCCTCTCATTTAAATTTCCTCCCCGCTTTCCGCCTTCTCTAAATCAGAAAATCCATCTTGCGGTCGGCAAATAAAAGGAAAAACCTGTTTGCGCTCACCCAGAACTCGTGGTGCAAATTCTGGATGCAACAGCAAAAAGCAGCGACCACAGAGCGCGTGTTTGTATGTGGGGCGTGTTTGCTTGCCAATAATAACACACACACTCGCAAACAGCATCCGTTACTTTTTACGAGTAGATGTGGCGGCGGCGGCAGCAATATCTGCATGAATACAAAATAAGCGCGGCGGCCAAATGCAGACGTGCATCTGTGGAAAGCGCGGCGCCGCCACTTTTGGCGGTGACATTTCCCCGATACATAAAAGTGCCATTTGCATTTCGGCGTAATGTTTGCTTCTCCCCGTCTTTTTTCTGCCTCCAACGACACATGCACAAGGTGAGCGCGCGAATATTGATTTTAAACGCGCGCCGTCTAATGTCGTTCGCCTCCTCGTGCGCACACACATCGCATCGTACGGAAATTTCCTCGCGTGCCAACCCAAACGACCGCGAGAGACAAGAAGAACAATGAAAATTTGATGTACTGCCTATCATTTTCCCCGATCAAAGGAGAAATGATGATCCCCCGAAACGACGTGAGGTTCCGAAATGTAAAAAAGTGAGCTCTCAAAAAAAAAAACCAGTCTGAAAATAAATTTTAGTGCTAATTTTTATTTCAATAAAAACTTTCAAAAGAAATACGTCCAGAATCATTCAAGTTCATATTTTTGACACTTTAAAATATTACAATATTGAAACTAGATAAATAAAAAAATTAAAAAAAAAATGTACAAGAAAATTAAACTAACAATAAGATCAAATTGGAGAAAAATATTCCAAGAAACAATTACTTGTAGAAAAAAAAATATGTTAGCCAATAATTTTGTTACTTTTTTTTATGAAATTGAAACACTTTCATTGTCTTTCACTGAAACTGAATGCATTATTAAAAACAAAGCAATTAATTGACAGTGACACTTTTTTAATTCTAATTTTTGAGCAAATTATCAAAGCAACTAAAGACGGAAGAAATATAATTTTTTTTATTAATTTTCAAAGCGGCACTTATTGATTGTAAGAAAAAGTTCAGAGCAACGGGCAACAATAAAATAGCGAGTCGATTTGGCGGGTGAGGCCATCCATTCGGAATTATTTCCGTGACCGCTTCGATAAACAGGAGGCAGGCGTGCTTAATGGAATATTTATGGCAGGTTGATAAGACAAGGCTCGTCACGTTTCTATTCTCGGTCGAGACAAAGCTGCGGCCGGGACAGAAACTGTCAGCCCGTGTAATGTCATAATCGTGTCGTCTATGACCAAAACTCGGGCGGCACTCGCTGTATTATTACTCGCCCGCAAGAAGTTTGAATGCAAACTTCCCGTCCGCGATTACTTGCTGAAAATGTGCCGACCGCAACACACAGCTAGCCGAGTTCTCTCCTTCAAGCTCTGCTCCTTTATGTGTGTGTGAGTGTGGAAATAAATTGTGTAGACAATAATAGCGCGTTATGAATTCGTTCCAACTCTGGCGCAAGTACCACAACTTTTGCCCAGCTGCTTGCTATTCAGCAAGCCGGAAAAATTACAACAATAATTTCTCGTCATAGCTATAGTTTTTATTTTTTAGACGCGGGAGTTTCTTCTCCCTTTTTTTATATTAAATTTCTTCACAGACTTGGCTGTTTTTGGTATTTTTCTAATGTAAATTTTTTACATCGCTCAGAATTAGCTATAAAATCATATTATATAAATACATTATTTTTAAGAATATTTTTTGAGAAAGAAATTACAAATCCAGCCAACTCCAAGGAGGGGTTGTAGGCCGGTGCTTTCAACAACATTATGGAGTAATAGTTCAAGTATTTTTAATTCCCTCATTTCGAAATAATGCAACATCAACCATTTAAATTATTCGATAAGAATTATAAATGTCTTCAGAATACCGGGAGGAAATTGTAATTCACTTAGATGCAGCTTCAGTATCTTTAATTGGAATTCTCTTGTATAATTTATTAAGCCTTAAAAACAAAATAAAAAATAACGTTATGAAATGCTTCTGAAAATTGAAAACATTGAAAATCATTGATAATAGCCATAATTGTCGAAAAATAATTAAAAAAATTATTATTAGGTAAATTTCTATTTATTATTTTTTTCGTATAAGTATAAAAATTTGTAATATATATCTATGTAATTAATTATTATTTCAAATAAATTACTTCCAAAATATAAATATAATTTGCAAGCATCTTTCAGCAAAAATTGGTGGAATGCAAAATTGCAGGTTGAAAACCTACGCTACTTAAATAAATAAAACGAGAAATATTTATTATTTTTTCCTTTTGCAATTCAACCTGCATGGATTCCTTTGGTGAATAGCTTCGCTCCATTTGCGAGGCGCAAAGTTTTCTCAATAAATGCCAGGGAGAGCGAGCGGCGAGCGATCGTAAGCTATGCAAAATTGATTTCCAAGCGACTTTGCTGCAGCCAGGATGGGGAAAAATAAACCCGAGGAAAAGAGAGAGACTTCGTGTATACAAAATACATTCAACTTCAATTTGCGCGCAGAGAGAAAACGCGAGAGCGGAAAAAAATAATAAAGAAGTTGTGACGGCCCCAGCCAGAGAGGCAACACTCGATTGGCTGCGCAGTCAAAGGCAAAAACTGCAGCAGCATGTTGTTGTGTGTGTTGGGGCGGCGGCGAAATTGCTTTATTAACTTCGTTCAATCATTGCCAAAAGTTGGCACAAAGGGCGCGAAAAAGAAGAGAGGTGCCAAAGAAGAACAGAAGAAGAGGCCAAAATAAAAGTGATATGGTCCGTTATAATAATATATATCTGCTGGCGCTACACCTTTTATTATGAAAGTTTGCAAACGTGGCTCAGACACACTGAAGCCTTTCTTTTGCCCGGGACCATCTGCCACACATGACGATGGGGCCTGACATTAACTTTTGCTAATTAGTTATTTTGAGCAAGTTCATTTCATTTTTTTCCTCTTGCTCAGTTTGATTTACAGCTCTGGAAGGAAAAAAATTCAACGGCAATTTACTGCTAATTGTAAGAAAAAAATTGTTTCCTGCCCGCCCAACATTATTATCTCGTACTTATATCAAAATTCCTTTTTTTTCTTTAAATTAAAAATTAAATCTGAAGACAATTTCAATTTTAAATTATTTTAAAATGAAAACTAATGCAGGTGTGCTTTCAAAAATTGTTAACTGAACTTTTTTTAATTTATTCACATTTTGTTAAGAGATTTTCTTGTTCAAGTCAATTGAATTGGAAGTATTTCCATTTTATTATATTAAAAAAGCAATCATTAAACAAAAAATATACCATAGAAGCTAAAATTTTAGCTCTTTTGATTCCTTATAAGGAAGAAATTTTATGGATAGAAATCCCAAAAAATATGAATCAACAATAAGGACAGGATTTATATTTGAAACTTCAGACGTATATCAGATCTAATGTAAAAAGAGATATTTTTTCTAGGCCACCATTCTTTAGATGGTTCTGGGCAGACACACCATACAAAAAGTTCAATAATATTTCTCTGGTGCGTAGGAGATATATCAAAGGCGGAGGACAAGTTGAGTTGGCTCGAAATTTGGCCCGGGCGTAAAGTTTGTTCGGCCTCTCGCAGACGCATTGTTATAGATATGGTGTCGGTTGTGCCGCAGACAGGTGAATGCGCAAAACACATTTCAGCCGGGCCGATGATGTATGACGAGTGTCTCAACGGTATACGCCGCCCCAAACTTCTCTCGCTGCGAACACAGGATTTCCATTTGGAGCCGCGCCTGATTGAGTTATATTTCTCGATATACCGCCGTTAATGGACAGCCCCGGGAGCCCAAAAATAAACCGCGATGGCCGACTGAGCTGATAATAAATCCGAGTGGGGTAAATTGAAAATCCGGACACACGTACCTTTGCTCTGGCTGGTCACTTTGTCCCGCAGCACGTTGATTTGGTGCACTTTGCCGAACTCTTCGAACATTATGCGCAGCTTCTCCTCGTCCATGCTGCGAGGAATCTGGCCGACGAACATTTTGATCGCGTCTGGGTCTGGCTGGTCCAACATTCCGCCGCAGCTGTTGTTCATGTTCCTGCAACATTAAAACGGGATATTAAATTTACTGCAAGTGTAATCTAAACTTTTGTAAAAGAGCACAGAAAAAAGCTTACTACGAAATAAACTTTTGCAATCGTGGTAGTTTATTGCAAGTTATTTTGGAGAAGTTTTGTATTAATTTTTTCCCTCAAATAAAAAAATATCTAGTCTACAAAGTTTACAATTAAATGAAAGGATTCCAATTCCATATTATTATTACAGAGGTGAAAAACCTATTTATCTTCTCGATTCAGTCAAAAAATCATTCTGGCAATTTGTATCTTTGAATTTTGTCATTCTATTTCAAACTATGTGCGACTACAAGCGTTTTTTTCCAAGATGTAAAGCAAGAAATGTGACATTTTCAAACATAATTTATAATTTGACATTAAATGTAAGTACTTTTTGACAAGTCAATTTTTTTTAAGGATAAAAAAAATGTAATAATTTCAAATTGTAAACACAGCCCTATTTCAATTGCCAAATTCAACTTTCAAAAATCAATAAACGAAGACCAAATAAAATTCAATATTTGAGAAAAAACTTTCTTTGACACATAATTAGTCAAATAATTAGTTAAGTTCCCTTTCCAGGCTCACAGTGCAAACTTTTGAAGTTTAAAACTCTACATTTCGTTTTGCAAATCTCCCTTTCTCTTTAAGCTGGTTAATTAACGCCAAATTACACCTCTCTCTTCTCCACATTCCACCAACTCTAAAAACTTTTCATAGCAAAAGAACCGGCTCGCTCCCAGGTAATGACCCAATTAACCTTTCCGCATAAAAAGATGCACAGAGGCAACTTTTATATGCCCGCATTACCAATTGATAGTTGAGAGAGCAATTTAAAAACAAGCCACTTGAATTCAACTCGGAACGAGGCCGGGCAATAAAATTTCGCCACCACAAAGGCTGTCCACAATGGAGGTGCGCGCCCGTGTGCCAAGTTGACTCGTAAAAAGTGCCATTTCTCGCGGCATAAATCCCGGCGGGGCCCTTAAAAAGCGCGATGCATCTTTCAGCTGCACTTTGGCGAAAAAAAAACATGAGAATGGCATACAAAAAGGGCCATTCTGCAGCCGAGAGCAAAGTTTGCAATTAGAAAAGTCGTTCCGAGCGCAGCTAATTGGCTCCGGGAGACCGTCTATGCAGGTCAGGCGACAAGTTCGCCGCTGCAATTTTATCGCCAAACTCACACATGTACGTTTAGGTACAGAGATTGCGGCTATTCTCTCGCTCGAATATCGCCGTCTCGAGAGGCAGTAAAAGCGGCCGGTTGACATTAGCGGCCCGAGACGCCTAATGGCCAACAGTTGAAACCGACGAGAGAGAGAAATTCTCTTTATTTTATCACTCGCCGCCAGGAATCTTTCTTCTTTTGTGTTGTCCCGTGTACTTTGTGAGGAGCAGTGCAGTTGACGAGAAATTCCTGGCCGGCTGTATCTAGGTGAGCCAAGCCAGATATTGAAATTTTCTTCCGCTGGAAGGATTCGTTCGTTCGAGCTTGCGAGTATCTGAAAATTCCTTCCTGGCTGACGAGCCGCGTTTGCCGCTAACAAGATGCTTCTCCGCCAGTAATGCCTCAAGAGACGTAAAAAGGAGTACAGACGAGCGAGTGAGTGAAGTGCACGAAGCGGTATTTGAACCTATTAAACGCGGGTTAAATCGTTGGAGAAACGACGCATGCCGGTTGTTACTGCGCTTGAGGAGTTGTTTTGAGAACACTTAAACGAGAATTTCATTAAGCACCTGTTTTTCTCTTGCTCATTACGTCTCTCTTTCAATAGGAAATAGGACGATATGTAAATACAACAGGGGAAAGAGACAAAAACAAATATAGTTACTAACGATAAAAGACAACATTTGATATAGTCATAAAAATAACACTTTTGCTTTCAGATATTTTGCCACCATGTATTTTAAAAAGCTGCTTTTTAGACTTGACTGTAAATTCTCTCTCAACGTGATATTTCATTTCATATTTAACTTTGTGCAAAAGAAGAGAATAAACAAATTGAATTGATAATATAATACCCGCAACCTGGGAAAAATACATATATTCATAATTAATATCAACTCTTCAATGAATAAATTAATTGTAGTGTGTCATTATTATTAATTATTATTGTTGTTGTTTATTCTTCACAAATCAAGTCAAATGAGAAATAATGTCAACCAATTTCAGACTTCAGGTTAATTCTATTTAATTAATGATTACTAAGGAAAATAGTTTGTGCTGATATGTATTTTTTACTTTTAAAGTGAATTGATTAAATATAATCCACTTACGGCTCCAGTTCGGCGAGTAGGTTTAAGTTGGAAACACTTTTGCTTCCAAATTGAGCCTATGAGTTTTAGTATGTTGTTTACTAGAGCTGGCTGCCAATTCTCTCCCAATGTGATTTTTTAATTTTCTGTTTGACTTGTTGCGAGAGAATAAATGAATTGAATTGAATCCTATTGTAAATAAAAGTATCATAAATAATCATAAAACTACATGTTATGATTTTAAAAACACAATAATGTTTTAAACAGTGATATTTTTATAATTAAGTATTTAATAAGTTAAATGTTGAATTTCCTACGAAAATCAAATTTATTTTATAAAGTATAAATACAAATAATTGTATATTAATTGACTTTTAAGAATCATCTAATAAATTTAAATTTATCCCGTGTAATAATTATTCTGTTACTTTGAATGGGGTCTTATTATAACGACCGATTTGCCAATTTCAGAGTCAAATTTTCACCACTCATAAAAAAAAACCCGAAAGCTAAAGTTGAAGTCACTTCAAAGGGCATCAGAGGTACCTCCGTCTTTCAGACAGACGGATGGACCGGCCGACCGACCGCCCGTTCGTTGTTAGTTTCGCTTATTGGGCACATGTGCTGGTGATTTGGTTTGAATCCTGTTTGTCTTTCGATTCGTTCTCTCGTTCTTTCTCTCACTCACTCGGCCTAGCTGTCTGTCTGTTGGCGAGGAGTTTTATCTTTAGAATCCCAAAAGGTTCTCCGCTCTTTATATGTGTGTATGCGTTGCGAAACAATATCGACTTAATCCCCGCTAAAAGTAGTGGTGGAGCTCCTCAGCCGCCACCGATGTCTCTTTCGATGCCTGTCAGGCCAAATTAAAATAATGGAGATCCGAGGCTGTTCGACGAGCGGGCGCGCGCGAGGAGAAAAAATAAAACAAAATAAGCATCAGCGCCCCGAGGGATAGGAAAAAAGAAAGAACGCGAGATGTTTGCTCAGTCGCAGCGACGGAAAAGTATAAAAAAGAATGAAAAGAAAAGGTAGGACATTTTAAGACCGGATTCGCTCTGCGACATTTTTCCCTCTTTTAATTTCATCCGACTTAGCGCTGCGCGATTTTGAAGAAAAAGGAGGAAAGAAGAAGAAGTCGACTCTGCTGGAGAAGTTGGCGGCGGGTTGCGTTTAGCATCGCTTATAATGAAGTTTGAGTTGGAATAAAGTTTATAAGAAGAGCCGGCCGGGAGCTGCACGCGAAATTCGCTGCTCTCCTTGCATTATACACGCGGAGCGAGCAGATTTGTGTTTGAAGAGTTTGTTATACACAAGTACGAACGCACCTCCACTCGGCGGCGGCGGTTCGCACAGCAAACTCCCCGTCTCGTGCCTTCGGGTCAAGAGTTTGCTCAGCCGGCAGCAATATTGTGCAAACTTCATCACAGAAATTTAATCAAAAGTAATTGCACTCACTATTTGCACAAGTTGCAAAGCCGCAGAGGGGCCGACCGGCTTTTGTTGTTTTTGCATCTGTGCCGAGTAATAAGAGTCGAGGTAAGCCAAAGCAAAACCAGCTGGACTTGTTTATTTTTCTATGCCGAGAGCCGCTCTCAACTGATGCAATAACTCAATTTTCTAAATTGACTGCACCGTTGCGCAAGAGAGGGGCGGCACACAAGCGCAGGTGGGAAAAAATTGACCAACATGAGAATGCCACATTTGTTTTTTAATATTATGGAATTGAAAATGAAATGGGTTGAAGTCATTTCGTTATTAAAATTCAAAATATAAATAAATTAAATAAACATTTTTTAGAATTTGAATGAAAGATAACTGTTTCCAGCTAAATTTCAATAAAATTTGAGCCGCCAAGTCACGTCAGTTGAGAAAAGATTTTCAGCAGTCTAACTTGATATATAGTTTTATTATATAGTCAAACTTTCAATGTGCTTTAAATTAAATTTATCATTAATAACAATAAACAAACGAGTGATACATGTTCTGTTCCAGATTTTTACTAAGAAATAAGTCTCAATATGAAAAGTATGTATTTTTTTTTTAATAGTGTTTAATTTAAAAAAAATTAATACGAGTTAATATATAAATTAATAAATACTGATTTGTTAAATAAAAAATTCAATAATTTAAAAAAAATTATTTATAAACAATAATAAAATAAAATTAATTTTGGCTATAAAATTTACATAACACATAAAGTAAATTTTTTTACTTTTTGCAGTCACATGCAATAAAGATAGCAATAAAATTATTATTGTGAACAAATAAACGCTGGTCTCTTACTTCTTGCAAGCGCGACAAAATTAATGAGAAGCGTGTAAAATTACTTTTGCTCCGCCACCGGTGCAGAAGAGAGTAGCAACGAAGGCTTTAAAAAATTCCATTCGGAATGGCGTGCGAGCGGAGTGAGGGAGCAGGTTGTTAAAAAAAGGCCCATTTGCAGCAACTGCGCGAGTAATAAATAAACTGGGCGGCCGTGCACGCTTTGGATTTCTCCACTTACGGTCCATTTTCTCACACAAGGCTTTTCTTAAGTAATTGTGGTGCGGAATGGAACTCCGGAAAGAAAATATGCCTAGCTAGAGAGAGAAAGGAAGGCTAGGCTGGAAAAAGTTTTTCCCACATAATAAATGCATCCCCTGGGCCGCGGCAACATAGATGGAGGGCAAAATGTAAAAACTTTGAGTAGCGTAATACTTTTAGCCGGCGAAAATTTTTCATTTCGGGC